AGAAAAGAAAAGAAAAGAAAAGAAAAGAAAAGAAAAGAAAAGAAAAGAAAAGAAAAGAAAAGAAAAGAAAAGAAAAGAAAAGAAAAGAAAAGAGAAAAGAAAAGAAAAGAAAAGAAAAGAAAAGAAAAGAAAAGAAAAGAAAAGAAAAACTTCTAAAGGCTATGTTTGCCACAAAGGGCATTTTCAGCCCTGAGTGTCCCTTCTGTGAGAATGAAACAATCATTTTGCGTTTCTAGTGAGACACTGTCACTGTCATGGCAGAGTGGGTTCTGTTGCTTTTTGGTTTTCTTCTCTCTTCCCCAGGAGAGCAAAGGTGAGCAATGAACCAGCAGGAGCCACGCTGGCTCTCGGTGGCTTTGCCAGGTGTCCCCCATGTTTGCTTGAGGTTTGAGCACAAACTTTGGTGTCACCTGCCCTCCACRGGGCTGCCCCCTGCCCCAAAATCCCRTCCATTGCCTTTAGAACCTGGGTTCTTCTGCAAGAGGCTTGGCCAATCCCCTGGAATTGGGGGCTTCCCCAGTGAACACRGACAGTTCAGTTATTTTTTAGGAAAAAAAACCACCCCAGTTTAGTGTCCTTGCCTGTGTGTGATGCCTGTCCTTCAAAGTCTTCTTCCAGGCTGGTGTTGGCATTTTCTTCCATCTCAGTGGCCAGAGTGGGAGATGCTGCAATGCCAGAGGGAGAACAGTTAATGACAGGATGGCAAAGGGCTGCCCTGACAGCAGGGACAGCRTRGGGACAGCACAGGGACAGCACAGTGTGCAATTTCCTGCAGCTGGGGACTATCAGTGGAGATCAGAGYGCACTTGGCAATTATGAACCTTGTCAATGTTCCACAGAAAGCAATTGGGGTGCATGCCAGTGTCCCTAAAATGGTGTCAGGCCAGATTCTCAGGTGAGGGTTCCTTCATTAAGCTGCTCCTTCCCACTCGCTGGAAAATATCAGGGCGGTGGGAAATAGTGGGTGTCAAATTTCCTGCAGTGGAAATGTCTACTGAGTAATTTCTTTTTTCTTTTTTTTTTTTTTTTTTTTTAATCCCCCTTGGAATTGGGACCCTATTATTTTTCCAAGTGCTGCAAGTATTTATCTCAAAGGGTTGCCTGAACTGCTCATTTCACATACAGAAGATGGAGTTAAACATTTGAACCCATTGGGCAAGAGACCTCTGAACAACCTGAAGCTGGCTGGGCCATGTTTGTTGCAAAATAGSGAATTGGTGGTGGCTATAAATCAAAATCACTTTCTTGTTCCGCCCTGTCTGTAAACCAAGGAGCCTGGTGACACTCTCAGGGCACTGTGAKGCACCAACACCCTTTTTGTCTCTCACAGGGCAGTTTTGGGGTAGAACCGCAGTTATTTTGGGAGTGCCAGGGCAGTAAGGATAAGGCTCCTATGAAATCTAAATAAGTGATTTGAGTGCTCCTATGAAATCTAAGTAAGTTTCAGCTGTTYAGGGGCTCAGTGGACCCTTGTTTGAGTTCAAATAGTACAGATGCCTGGTTTAAAAGCTGCTGCAGGGCTGGGCTGGAGTGATGTGGTGGTGCTGCTCAGGATGGAATGCTCCTTCCTTTTTCCATAGCAGCATCCAGGGATAACATGGAATAAGGGCTGAGCAGGACACAAGGTGTCTGATTCTGGTGTGTSTTGGGGCTGAAGCTGATGAGCAAATGGACAAATTAATTATTCCATGCATGGGGCAATCAATCAAAACTCCTGGGGAGCACTGCCAAAGTGTTGATAAGACAAGCAGATAGTGAATTGAGCTTTATTAGTGTAAATTCTATGGGCTGCTCTACAGATCATTGTCACTACATTGATCCAGATTACCAGATTCCTATTTCCTCAGTTCAGAAATAGGAATCTGAAGCTAATCCCTGCTCAACAGGCAAAATCTGGAATCTTTGCCATGCCAGGGATGARCAGATGTGGGGATGTGCTGGGTCAAAGCCTTCAGTCGTTCCTTGGCTTGCACAGATACTTCCAGTGAGCTCTCCTGTTGACCTCTGTGGATTTTCTTCATTCTGGGGTAACACGAGGCTTTGATTCTCAGTGTGCTTTGCTCTTTGATCACTTTTAGCTCTGAAAGGCACTCAAAGCACAGGGTTTGAGACCCAAGCACTCAGCTGCAGCCTCAAAGCAGAGAGCTCGACTGTGCTTTGGGTGAAACATCTCTGTTCCCAGAGGTGGGAACGGATTGCYTAACGAATGAAAGGTCCCTGTGAAATTTATCTCACTGATCCACGGTGCTCCATAAATCTGTGAAGATTAGATGAATCACAGCAGCACAAAGGCTGTGTTTCACCATTCTGCTGCAGCGTGGCACGAGTCAACAACCCTGACCGTGCCCAGGCTGGGAGGGGGAACTCCTAAAGAGCCGGCAGTGCAAACCCTTCTCATCTGCGCTCAGTGGGGCTGTGAACCCTCAGAATTTCGGGAGAACAGGGCTGGCAGAGCCAGATGAGCCCAAGAGCAGCTGAGCAGCAGCCACATGGCCAGGGTGGTAGGTGGAAGGATGCTCGGGCTGAGCTGGCTCCCCTCGAGCAGAGGGTGACAGCGGATGCTCTTGCGTGTGCTGTGTGGGCAAAGCCGGGCAATCAGCGGGGCAGGGAGCGCTCCCACATCCTCCTGACGGGCTTTTTCACCTGATGAGGAGGTGCTCGTTATGTGCTGGGCAAGCAGAGCCAGAAGGGATCTCGCCAATAAAGCGTGGGGGTTGCTGGTGCCGTGAGGAAATGTCCGTGTGCCGGGCTGAGTCAGCGCTGCACGGAGCGTCACTGCGCGGGYAGGACAGCCAGCACCCGTGTCCCAGAGGGAAAAGTGCCACCTCCTTGTCCCCACGTGTCCRCACGGGTGGCACCGAAACTGCGGGAAAACCACAAACTCTCTGACAACATTTTCATGTTAGAAAGTCAAGGCGTTGCTTTGTTTTCTGGCCAGGATGTTGTTCTGGCCAGGATGTGCCACAGAATTTCATCCACACRCAGCSCGGGTGTGCARGGAAAATMATTYCATGATACCTGAATTTTACAGGATTTTYCWMAMWYTWTA